TTTATCATATACATGAGACATATATAAATATGGAAAAAGTGGTATGAAATTATTTTTTAAGATCATTATTTTTTCTTATTTCTTGTAAAAAGAATTAAAAAGTTAAAATAGAAAAGCACGCTAACGATATGTGCATGAAAAGCAGAGCTAACTGAGATATTGGAAATTTTTGAAAAAAAAGTGTTATTAATCAATCAATATACATGTATATTTTAATTATACATGTGACGCAATAAATCACAGCAATTAAATAAATTTAGCAAAGAAAAAAAAATGGCATTTAACACACGCTAATGTTTGATCAGTGAAATGAAAATACTGTTGTACTCGGTCATTAACTTTTATCTCTACTATAACAAATCAAATTTTATACAGAAATTGTAATTAAAATAAATTTATTTTAAAGTTTATAAAAAATTTTCAAAATAAAAATATGTTTTCATAAATTATATCATAAATTCAACTATAATGTAAACAACTGTTACATAGGAAATTAAGTTATAATATTAAGTCATGCATGCGTTTCTTTTTTAACTTGTTAATGATTGATATGATATCAGTTACATGATGATATTTGTATCAATCAATAAATGCGATCAAAGTCAATTGTGTACCCTTAGCCAAGCATAATTTAATAAAATTTGGTTAATTAATTCTAAAATATTTAATAACACGCGATGTACGTGATGGCGTGTAACCGTAACAATAAATATAACTCTGTATAATCCTTTCACGTAAACTTGACTTCACATAGAAATGATTGCAATCGATGAGATCTGAAATTTACATAATGCTCCATTTAATCTGGCCAGAATTTTCTTCTCGAGCATTTGTTGGCACGATTCGAGAGTATTTTGTATGACTTTCTGCCGATAAATGTGACTGTAGGGACCTGCTGATATTTGCAACACTCTCAATTGCAATTAATTTCTTGCGGGGAAGTGTACCAATTTTTTTTTCTTAGATGTCCTCCACTTCTGCCAAATTTTGTTTTCAGTTATTGAGATTTTTGTCACTTTCTGTTAATTTTTATTTTAATCTCTGATCAATTGTTATCTCGAAAACTATCCATCTTTTTGGCCTCTTAAACTTTCATACTCTCTTTTGTCATCGATGTCTCCACAGTGTGCTTTTTATGGAATTTAATTAACTCTTGTTCTTATTAGGTTAGCTTATAAATGACCGTTTTATTTATTCTACCATTAGTCGAATTCTGTTTTTGCTTTCTATTGTCAATTTTATCATCAATTTTCTAATTTCAGTCATGTCAAGTGATATAGTTCGACCTAATTCGATCTCACAGTTAATGCCAAATATGAAAAATGTCAATCTAACATTTATTGTTCTTGACATTGGTAAGTAATTCAATTTAGTTTTAAGTCCAGAACCATTTTGATAATACCGTTCATCTGATTTCACTCAAGTTTCTTCATTTTATTTTGTTCCATTTCATGTTCATTTCAATCATTTTCAAGTCAGCTGTGACATATTTTCTTTCCAATCAAATTAATTTCAGTTCTATTTATTTCGTAATATTTTCTTTTCTATTTAATTCATTACTCTACACTATTAGTGGATCGCAGTCTATTAATCAATTAATAGGGGACAAAACAAAATTTCTGCATTTTTACTATTTATATAATATTGATCCGAAAACAATGAATCAAAGAAAAAATAGAATGAAATGCTCACCATGAATTTCAATTTACCTTATATTTCAGGCCAATCACGACGCACGCCACAAGGACATGATGTTCGGACAATACGCGTTGCTGATCCAACAGGTTCCGTTCTCATGGGTGTATGGAACGATGTCGGCGATAATATTTCCGCTGGTGATATTTGGCGACTGAGGTAAGCCCTTCTGTTAAAGAAATTTTTGCTTCAAGATTCCCAACGGAAAAAGGATTTGTGGTTGGGTAACTGGTTTAATATTTCGTTATACTTCAGCTAACTCGTCAACTCTGATTACGTACTACTATTTCAAAAGTGTTCTAAAATTGATGAAATGATAAAGTGCATTATCAGTATTGGATATGCAATTCCATTTCTTATTTCTAGGAATGGTTTTACGACGATCTTTAAGGGTTCGTTAAGTTTATCATATGGCAAAATTGGTGAATTATTAAAAACAGGTGAGTTTTTTATGGTTTATTCGGATATTCCAAATATGAGTGAATATAATGCTGAATATGCTACGAAATTCCCGTCGAATCGAAAGGGTTCACCGGACGATGAAACAGCAGGCAACGGACATGGAGGTAAACTGTTTAATTTTCGAGCTATGCTTTCCAGAATATCCTTACTTTCAGTACTCATTTTCCTAGCATTTTTTTAATGCATGGTGAAAATTTACCAAACTTCTATAAATGGCATGCGTTGTTCTACATTTATACATCACCTAATGGGATCGGGGATCAGAAAGAGCTGAAGAAACTTTCATAGTATTAAATTATCAACCGATTTACTAATTTTTTCTTTTGTTTCAGGTAATGGCAGCGTACAACGGTCTCATTCAACAGCTGGTATCCATCGACCAATAAAACGATCAGCACCGTCTCAGGGACAGTTCCGACGTGACGGTATTACCAACAAAAATGCAAGAAATTCTTGACTTTTTACTTCAACTTTGAGATCTCAAAAGCAAAAGAAACTTTGGTTTATTAGCTGCAGAGGCGCAAGTATCAACAACAGGAGTGCAAACTTTATTAATTAAGCTTTTCTCATTGGGAAGTTCTCCTTATGGGTGATTAACAGACGCATCTTATGTTCAGGGCTTCCTGGAGTTTTCTACAAAATTTCATATGAATCCTTCATGAAGCTGGCTGTTTGGTTTATCGCGATGTTTCGGTACTTTTTCTTGCTTCTTCTTGCTCAATTATGTCCTCACTTCCCAATCGGTGCAACGTCTGTCTAGGTAATTACTGGTCTTTCGTTTCCATGACGTGTAGTACATTCCAGCTGTAAATAATCTTTGATTTCCCATATCCCTCATTAAATAAAAAATTCCCTGTTCCAAATATCAACAATTGAATGTTTTGGAATGGAAGGAACCATTTTCGATTTGCTAAAAACAGACCAGTTTTGATTGATTTGAAAAACAAATCATCGTTCTCCATATTTCTCAACGTGAAATTATCAAAGCTTAATGTTTTTAAGAATGAAGAAGTTATCAATGAAATTAAGCAGTTTTTCTAGAAATCATCATCTTGTTAAGCAATAACATGACTAGAATGTGAAAATATGGTATAAATTTAAAAGCAACATTCACATTTATGTTCGGTTAATGCAAGGCAAACTACTCGTTCCCTTACTAATCATTTTTGAAATATATATACGGAATATGGAGAACAATCAAAATCATTTCTGAGTGTGAAATCATGTGAAATCATTTTGAAAAACCCGAGAAAAAAAACACTGTAAAGCGAGTGTAAGTTTAGCAATTGTAAAGCGACACCATTCCTTTTTTTGAAAAGGGGTGCTAAAATTATTGACGATTTCACTTTGATCATGAAATAAGACAAAAAATAAAAAAATACAAAAATTTATTAATAAAAATTTTAATATCAAGGGAAAATAATAAAATCTATATAATGCGAAATGCGATTTCGATCAACTCGATATTGAAAATATTAGCTTGCTGTTTTATTTTTTATATTCTCAAACTTGAGATGTTTTCTCGTAATGCAGATAAATCAGCAAAATTATCAAATATTTTGTAAAGTTTTATTGCCTATAATTTCAGCGCCCGATTTGCCTAAAACAAAAATTCTACTTTTCTCTAATCAGGATTCTCATCTCTCAGTTCTTTCACAGTTTCTCACCGGGTAGTTGGAAACATTTAAATCGAATAATATTTATGTGCATGTTTTTTGTCTACATGGATTACAAACTTAAATAAAATGATTAGATCCGTACAAGGCAAGTAAAACAATATGAAAACTTTGCTACGAAAAAATATTTACATTGAGCAAACATGCCTAAGATGAGCCTGACCGTCTCAGAACAAGACTGCTCTGCCATTCATTCTTCAGAAGCAATTCATCAGAATTTCTGAAACAAGAAAGTTTCTAAAAAGAACGAAAGAAAAGCATAAAAAACTGCGAAATACTGTTTTAAAAAAGCATAACCAATAAGACAAGGAAAGAAGGTCGACTCCATCACTAAAACAACAGAATATTAGAAATGAGGAAGAAGATTATCAAATCAAGGCTTGATCAAGGTCTACAGATAGTTGCCAATACTTTTAATCAGTTTCTACTAATAATTCAAGCTCTAACTTTGCTTGCTTTTGCTTTAGCTTGTTCCAGCAAATTGGGTTTTATTTGCCGATATCGATTTCTCGTCTTTCTAGCCGTAACAGCTCCCATTGTTTCCGCTTTTACAGAGTGAATTTCAGTAGCACTTTGTATCGGTGGCTCCATGCTAGCACCATCAACGCCTGTTTTCATTCTTGAACCTTCGGATATTGAAGGGATTTTTATATCTTCTTTCTTCTGCTCTTTACTCTCATCCTCGATGTTATCTTCTTCTGGAATTTCGGATACGATCACTGAAGACGACTTGTAACCATCCTGATCGGTAGATTTATTAGATTTTTGAACAAATTTTAAATTTGGCTGCATTTTCGCGTATCTTGTTTTAATCACGCCTGGATTTTTAGATGGTAATTCTGTTACAGTGGCGTTTTTGGAGTTAATTACAATTGATTCAGAGCTTTCTCCAATAATTAATTTTGCAGGTCTTTTCCTTGTAAAGCAACCGACCCTTCTCAGAAACTTTGCAGTTGAATCGGAGCTTTCAGCTTCGATGGAATTTAGTTCATCTATTTCAGGCTGTGAAACAGATAGATTACAATGCTCCATCGCAGTAGAGGATATGCTAGCTTCTGTTATCGCAGTACTACTTCCAGCATTACTTGACATTCGATACTGAGCTGCAGCACATTTCCTGTAAATGAAAATAAATGTTCTAACATTAGATAACAGAAACTTGTGGAAAAATTGGATGAATTTATAAAGTATTTTGTTTGAAATAAACAAGTTTTAATTACCTTTTGTTGGCCTCCACTCCACTGTCAAGTAAAGCGTCTTCCTCATCCGTTATAGATAAATCCTTCACAGATTCTGGAATACGATGTTATAAAGTGAAGAAGATGACATACTCTTCTGCAAAAGCTTTGTAACTTTGATCTGTGACCCAAATCCTAACGATCTTCCTCATAATCCTCCTCCTAATTACTATGTAATTCCGGTTGCATTTCGATCTTCGACGTTTTTTTTTTACTATAGCCAATTTTCAGTGTTATCACAATAATTCGAATAAAGCAATGCAGGTTTCTAGCATAAAAATGCTTTCACTTAGAATCTTAATCTCTTTCCAGAAAATAAAATTGCTGGATTGGAAAAACGACAAAATTTAAAAATTTGGTTAGCCCTACCTTTTTCTCTTTGGCTGACATTTTTTCCGATAGCATCTGAAGCTATTACTGAAATTGTTTGCTCAACTACCTTTTTCGTTGCGAGGTTGACATTCGGCCGAAAATGTTTCCGAGATTTTAAAGCTTTTCCTGTTTTCGATGTGAGATTTCTATTGTCTTTGAACAACTAAAACAGATGGATTTGAATTCATCCCATAAAAGAACTATTTGATCTGAACTAAGTCTTTCTTGAAAAAGATATAAACATTTTTGTACTTTTGTCGCTAAATTTAATTTTGTAAGAAAACTTCAAACCTGTTAGTTGTCTTTCTATCTATAATATATTAGATCGATTAAAAAATACAAATAGAAGTAAGATAACAAACTGTGAAGAATAAATTTTTCCTGAGAACTTAATAAACAATGGGAACATAAATCCGAAGAATTCAGTTATCACCCAATCCACACTATAGAAGACTGCATAACTTCCATCTTTATCAATTACCTTTAACTTAGTTCGATTTGTTCTCTAAGATAAAAAAATGCACTATGAACGATTAAAATGAAAAAACCGTGCGATCGTTGGTTTCATTGGTTTCTTCTTTTTGATCATTTGTACAGTCTATTTCAGGTTTTACGACAGTTTCATCCGCATCTTCGATTTCTTTTAGAATGTCGTAGTTTATTTTGTTTGAAAGTTTCTTTTCCTGCAAAAATTTTGCAAAGATTTCAATACTGAAAACGAGAAAGTCTCTGAAAACCACCATTTTACCTTTAAATGAATTATTGGAATCATTCTATCTATGATGCATAATAAAAAATAGTCTAAAAAAATTTACCTGTATAACTTTTTCCATTGCTTCCTGCGCAGTCGCAGCAACGATGGGCTCTTTTTTACGGATACCATTGGTGCGACGTCTTTTTTTGGCTGAATTATCTTTTTCACGTTCTTCCTCCTTTTCACGACGCCTCAAAAAGAAATGTGCATATACTTTAGCAAGATTGCGAGATGTTACGTTGCATAAAGACAATTCAAAAAACTCTTCATGCATGTGGTTGTTTCAGTATCGAAACCTCGATTATTTTTTTAATTATTTCCCTTTCAATCCGCTTCCTATCAAGGCTGCGTTATCCACTGTTTTTGAAAACCGAACAAGATGAATGCATTAAATTTTACCGTCGCTCCATTTCTTTTAAATGTTCTCCATTTAATTTCATCCAAAAACGAGTTTTCAAATCTACCTCTTCTTTCGTTAGTATATACGTATCAATTTCATCATCATCAATTCCTGCAACAACATTATAGCGCGATAGAAAATTCAGAAAATTTGAATTATAAACAAAGATAATATCATATTCGCGTCTTTCAAAACTATTTGATCATTCAGCAACTGTGTATACAAGCACTAACTCTATATAACATCAGATCGACTACGGTAAGGAAAATCTATTTGCAGTACTCAAATTATTTTTACCAAACGGATGCTAATTGCACTGTCGATATTAATCATAATTATCACAGTTCACTATATTGATAGCCAAAAATATACATTATTGATTACTAAAACTTCATTTGTCGAAAAAAAAATAAAACTTTACCCTCCAAATCGAGTTCTCCATTACCACTCAGTTTCTCACTTTTGGCTTCAGCAATCGGTTCTACTTCACTTTTGATTGGCGTTATTCCAAGGCTAACCAATGAAGGCGCATAACTGGATGACATGCCAGCATCAGATCTGTAACAACAATATTAAATATACTGTTGATGAAGATTATGTCTACTCCGAAAAAAATCTAGACAATGGAGAAAAATAAAGGAACACTTACAGCGGAGTAGCACTTCTTGCAGCAGAAAACACTAAGTCAACGATTTCATTTCGTACTACAGCATCCGCCGGAGTAAGTTCATCTGATTCAGATCCTAACGAACCACTCATCATTCGCGCATACTGTGTTCGTTTGAAGCGTTCCTTCCGACGTTTTTCAAGAGCTCTTTCAACCTTTGCCTCCATTGGTGGCATCTGCAACCTTTACTTTACATTTCGAAATTAAGAAAACTATGAAAGTAAATTCTTTATGTACCTGAATGATTGATTCAAACAGCAGATTTTATTGCTTGATACTATATCTGTACTATAAACATAAAACGACTTTCCAAGGAATGTAGAATAACTTCATAATTTCCGCTTATAATATGAGTGTCAAAATAATAACAATAAAAATTGAAAAATTCATTTTTCTGAATTTTTCTGAAAATTCATTTTTCTGAATCTTGATGTATCCATTACCTCAAGTTCTATCTTCCTCAATGCTTCCTCCTCTTTTTGCAATTGTATCTCACGTGCTTTACGACGCGACTCGCGAAATGCTGGCGGATCTTCGCAGTGCTCCTGAAAGGAGAAAATTACATTTGGAAAAAAAGTTGCGAATTTTCTAAAGATTTAATAAGGTCAGTCATAATGCTTAAATCACAATCCTGAAAAGGTATATTAAACACTTTATCAATAAAAGTTCAAGACTTACTAAATCAACTGATGTAAATTCATCGATTGTTAATGTGCTTGAAGGAGTCTGTCCGAATTCATCAAGACGTTTCTTAACGACGGCTTCACTAATATGCACAACACGTACAACGTCGGCAACCGTTCGGTTAAAATTAAAACATCGGGCTGCAAGCAATAATGCTGCACCACAAAGACCAGTCGGTCGCCTTCCTGTTGCTATCCAGTCACGTTTCATTCGCTGTACCAGTCGGGTTGCCAAAGATACCACCTGCAGAAGCAATCATAATGAAAGTATTAAAATAAGTACTATCAAATAATCGTGACAAAATCTGGCGATCCTAGAATTAGTGAAAAAAGGCTTCCATACTTTAAATTCTTGAGCAAACATCCAACATTCTGATTAAATTTTCCCATAGGTCAAAGAAATATTTCCGACAGCATAAAATATCAAGTTGAATTTAATTTTTAATAATCCTATTTTAACTATCTTCCTTGCAAACAGTATTATTTTTTTCCTTCTCTCGTTCTTGTCATCGTTATTATATAAAACTTTAGAGTTCTATCGTTGAAAGTAAGGATTACTGGATGTTAGATGAGGCTTAAAACCATGAACTACAATTCACTCGTCATCAAAGGAATAACTGCTAACATTCCGTAATGATTAAATTATGTTTACTTTTTATTTTTTTCAACAAGATGTAAAAAATAAAAGTACTGGAAAAACACATTGTGACCTCTTTTTGTTTGGAACCAAAATCGAGTGAAACTGCAAAACGTAATATGTACATGCAAGGATCGGTAGTTGGAAGATTGATTTTCAAAGAACGGGTCAAAAAATTTAATGTTCGTCCCAAATCAAACACATTAACCTGCAAAATTTCAGTATATTCGTTAATTAATTTATGCGGTCAAATGAAGCAACAGTTATCAGCAGTTAAATCTGAAAAATATCATAAACAACATTCTTGGTATAGCATTACATCTGAAAACCGAAAAGTGTAGAGTGAAGGATTGATTACTTCAAGAATAATAAGTAAATTATATAATAAAGAAAAAGTTTTACCCGTACGCTCTTTTTCAGTGAAACCTTGAGGGCAATGGCTAAGAATGCAAATTCTGCGGAAGATACCTGAGTGATATCGCTAAAATCCAACAATAAATGTGCGGTATTCTCCAGCCGACAAGTCATATACAAACATGCTGCTACAACGTGTGATCGCACACGTCCACGTGTGAAATTACGTGAGACGCACATTTTGAAAAAATTAAATGCTGTATTAACACAGTGCTGATTAATCCGCAGCTGACTTGCTATCTGTAAATGCAGACCAAATATAAAGCAAAGATTATAAAAAATTCAAAACGATTTAGTATTGCCAAAATTTCCCATATTTCTTCAAATATCAATTTTTAACAAACATGTGACACACATAAAACTCTAAAAACATTCTAAGCAACATGAAAACACTGATACAATAGACCGGATATTATGGAATGTCAGCTGCTGTTAACAAAATGTCAATTATTCCAGTTAAATAAAACCTGTTTAATCTAATCAGCAATATTTTGTTACCTCTTCGATCAGTTTTCTTCCCTTGTAGTAAGTGATTTCTCGGGACTCCTGATGTGATAAACCGGGTACACCGGACAGGTTGGTTGGCTGACCACGCTCTTTTGAAATAAATTGACCTGAACGTTGCATAAGACATCACTAGTTTACACATATATCACACTCATGTTTAAAAATGAATTCCAATTATGCTAACCTTTTACATTTCTTGTTATGAGAATTAATTCGAAAGCACTGCAAGTATCCTTTAAGCACTAATAACTTACCCACTAAGGAATGTCCACCACCAGCATTTTCCTGAAATGCCACATCGGAAACAATAGTTGACTCTTCTAACACCGTGCCACATCCCATGCATGTAGAATCACCACGAGCTGAATCATCATCAATTTCCGAACTGCCACAGTTTGGGCACTTTCTGCTCATTCTGAAAGAAAAGAAAACAAATTTCTGTAAATTCGTGAAAAAATCCTAATTTTGAACAGAAACTTATAGAATCGAATGTAAAATGAAGATATTAGCAAAAAATGGCAAGCTCAATAATGACATAAATGGTACGAAACACAACAAACGCATAAAAATGAGACCGTTAGAAAATTTTCCGAATATTTGATATACCAAATAATTCTTCCGAAATTCCCGACCTTAACAGGAAACAATAAAACAAGAAATGAACCACACAGCAGGTGAATGCGAACCCAAAATCAACGATGGGAGCAATATGCATCCAAACAAGCTCAATGCACCTTATTTTTTGAAATTTTTTTTGCTGTTATAAAAATATCGTACTTTTGAAGAATTGCTTTAGAACTGATAACGGTCTTTCCTTATCGTTCCCAAGACCACATATCATACATATTTCCTCAAAAACTATTACGATTATTCCATCGTTAGCTATTCTCTAAGAATGTCTTCCAGTTAATTAATCTATTTTCAATATTCGAATAAATCTTCAATTCATAAAAATAATCCGTCTCATATATGATAAAAAAATGTCTCGAGTTATGATTACTTCATGTTAAGCCTAAATAAATACATGTACTTGTTACATGTTTCTGTTATTCATTTAACTTATCAATTGCTCGATATTCCTGAAGAAATAAAATGTTTACTTTGAAATCTTTCATCGTTTCGAAGTCAAATTGACTAATTCTTTAAACGTATTACGATCACCCATGAAAATTTCAATTTTTCCAAGATGTGCACTAATGAAAATCAATTTTCTTCTTTATTTTTTTTAGATATAGAATGAGTGGTGCGTCATATCGACGTTTTTTTTCACATCTCTGACACATTAAGTTGCTCAAAAATAATTTATTCTTTCAAACTTGAATACATTTATATTTCATAAAAATTGCCATAATTTAAAATGCTTCATAAAATATCGTTTGACAACAAACAAAAATTAGCAATCAATAAATAAACTGAAGTTTTTATGCTGAATTCCAGGAAATCTTTTAAACTGCAAAAACTGCAATTCAGACAGAAGTCAGAGATCATAAGTTCAGACAGAATCAAAAGGTCAGAATGTTATCAGCCTCGCCGTTCCCTGAAAACATCCGGCCCCTCACCCCTTCGCCATCAGGAAAGCAATTCAATAACTCTAAGTTGAAGGCAATTCGTACATTGCATGATCGAACTTTGCACGCTACAAACTTCAACCATCAAAACATTCGCTTGCTGAAAATTATGAGTCATTTTCTCGTAGTTTACGTCTTTTCAAGTTTGTGATGGTGTGCGGTTGTTTTGCGCTTGAGTAGGCTTATAAATGAAACAAAATCGGATGTTTAAGTTTCTAAGTAAATAGAATGCAAAATTGTTTAATAACAAAAACATTTGATAACAGTTTGATAACAAAAACAAAAATTACCGGATTGGATTAGGAATTGTATTTCAAATAACATTTATCAGTTACATTAGTCATTTGTTGCATACAGAATTTTTCGCATACTTAGTTTGATAACGGTTGAAATTCAAAACTGTTTTAAGGTTACAGGACAAATGTACGATGAATTCGATGTTTCAGACGACGTATCGACGACATCTGTTCTCGTATTGATAATATTCCATATGTCGAAGGAGTATTCTTTCATGTCTTTTCTTAACAGAGCTTATCGTGCTTTGTTGTTCCTCTCAATTCACCGATTGGCCAGTTGGTTGATAATTCTTGTCATGTGAGGATCAGTCTAATTATATAAATTAGTAAATGAGTTTTTGCAGCGATTTATTTTTTAATCTCGTATATTGCTTGATCAGGCAAATTGCCGTCCACAAATTCTTATTTAAATGTTAATTTACAACTAATAATATGCATTGTTACGATAAACAACTTACAAAAAGTTCATTCAAATTTTCGGATCAATTTCAAAATTAATATAATTTAACGTAGTGAAAATGTATTATAATTAACAATCGCAATTATCACCATTGCAGCTGAATGAATTTCATTTCCAGAGACAGATATCTATCGATATATGTCTTAGATCCTGATTAAACCGATCCAGACTAAATATTTTGTTTAATTTGATAAATTGTTACACCTGGTGTTTTGAAAATTTTCAATTATCCTTGATATCTAAGTCGGAAGTAAACAGTGCTGAAAAATCAAACTATTGAATAGTTTTGAAATTTTCTGCAACTTTCGCATAATTTTTTTATATTGCATTATTTTATGAATTCTTTTGCTATTTGAATTCTCTAAATTACTAAAATAATTTTTAATTTCATTTTCAATATGAAAATGTACATAATATTGGTGCATCACCGCATTCTCTGGCCATACTGTGGCTGTTTTCTTGGATCAGAAATAAATGATCAACTAATGCCAATTTCATGCTGCAATCACAATCAATAATCGATATACTTTCCGGATTAAGTTTGGTAGTTATCCGTGAAATATTTCACTCGAAAGTTGATAAATTTCCGGACCTAATTTAACTTGCAACTTCCAAATTTTGTCATTTGTCAATCCTACTGCAGTTAAAAAAATATGTCTCAAAAAAATTTTCTTAAATATTTTTTGAAACCTGGTAAATGTGCACGTACAATGACGATGGTGTGTTTACTTTAAAGTATTCAATTGAAAGCAGAAAAAATGGAATGATTAATTGATGATCGTATTGCGGGATCTGATTATAAGCCGAAATGCATGTAAACATTTTCAACTGTATTGTCATTATAAGTCTCAAAATGATAAAATTTTAGAATGATCTTGAAGAATTTTAATCGAATACGCAAAAAGCTTTTGCTATGTTAGAGAGAAATACTTCTGCCAGTAAAATTAAACTTTTTTTTGTGAAAATTTTTAAATGAATATAAAACTTGTATAAATCGAAAATATCTTACTAAGCAATCAATAATTTGCCGTAATATCAAATTTTGCTCTTTTGAAGGATTTAACCCAATTTTTCTCCAACATTTAGGTCATTGTAGCATAATTTTTGTAACAAAATGATAAACTTAATAATTCAATTTCGGTATCTGATTTTTTGCATTATTTCCATTTTTACATTATTTCCAGTATCTGATGTTAAGTTTGAAATATACTTCAAATATACCATTTTCTTTTTTTTCTTTCTCTCTTTTCCTGTTAAGATTTCAACAAATATAATTTGAATTAAAAGTGTATTACAAAAAGACGCAAACTGTTTGTAATATTTATTAATGTTTAACTTAATTTATTTTTATTTAACTTAATTTATGCAAGTTATTAGCATTATCATTTACTGCCATTGATTTATCATCTATCACTTCTGTGTCCAAATAATCTCATCACAGTATACTAACATTTGATATTTATCATATCATATACAACAGTTATGATAAAAATTATCGACGAAGTGATTTATTAAATTTATCATAGTTTTTTAAATTCAGTTTATGGATAAAAATAGTTTACGGATATATCCAATGTATAAATAACGGATACATTTATTAATATAAATATACAAATATTCGCGTACATATGATACCTTGAAGTATTTAAATTTTATCGCTTTTTTTAATGCTTATGTCATTTTTAAAGATGTGATAGACAAAAGATTAATTAAAATAATAGAGAAAAATGCAAAATATCGTAAAATGTCAGAATAAATTATAAATGAATATTTCACATTTTCTACTTTCGAAGCGATAAATTGACCAATAAATTGCTTCAATTACAAATAAATTAATCTAATATTTGATAATGATAACTATTTACAAGTAGTTTATAAATTAATTTGATACGTAATACCGATCATTATTTGTGCAGAATTGGTTCAAAGGAGCGACGACAAACATTATCGAAGTGCTGAATTTTAATTTAATGTATGGATTCCATATTTTCATCGTTTAATTTTGTCGTCTTGGCAAGTACTTATTGTTATTTTTGCGTAAATTTGAATTTTATATTTCATTGTTTCTTTTTCATACCATAGTGCAAATAAATTTTTTAATGAATTGTCATCTTTTCGCAGTAATTGTTGGGAATTTCAAGTCTTTTTTACGTTATTTTTCTGCATTTATTATTTTTTTGTATTTATTAAATGATGTGCATTTGAATTTATCATCTAATTAAAATAGTAAATGAAAAAAAAAACATTCAATGATTACATCACTTTATTTATTTATACTATTAATTAATAGTTTTAAAACTTATAAGTAATTTTTATGATGATATTATATGGGTATGATTAATGGAGAAGAATATTTGATGAGATAAATTAAAGAAAGGTCATCGTAATGTGAACGACAAAAAATTTGGGCATAATCTTGTTAAGATTTGTAACGATGACAGGTTAATTGGCAGAGTACATAAATTATATTGCCATATCAACACATATCATCGATCGCATTCAATTCCTCAAATAAATTCACTCCATTCTTTCATCTTTTTCTTCTATCCTTCCATCCCTACCACTTTCATTTTCACTTCCCTTGCATTGATCATCAATCCCAATGACAAATTGTTAACCCAAAATTCTCTTATCATTTTACTCATCTATCTAACCTTCCCAATCTTCATGTCCTTCAACATATTCATCATCAATACTTATTTCATCATTAATCTCATAAAAATTTTATATCACTAAGAAATATGGCTTTTCAGGAATCTAATTATAACTATTATTA